AAAAAAAAAAAAAATGTAGTAACATCTTTTTTTATGTGTATATTAAAGCTAATGATCCAGATGGAGATAAAAATTTTTATTTTCAGATGGAGATAAAGATTTTTATTTGCATTTCACATACAAATAGCTAGTTGGCTGTTTGTAAACTAACAGTCACATCTCTCTGTAATTGACTTAGACATATGAAGATAAATATTTTGATCTATTCTTGAAAACTAAAGTGCTTGGGTCAAAGTTAAATATAAGAAAATAAACTCCTGCCCAAGTCAAAAACTAATTTTTTTTCTTTGTTTTTATCTTTCACTCATTGAAGTGCAAATTCATAAAGACTATATCTCTATTAGAAGAACATGCTTTGCCATTCAGAGGTAGTTTTACATAAAGAACTAATAAATGTTAAAAGCTGCATTATAAAAAGCCATTGTTTTGTTAGAAGTGGGAAAACTTGTTTCTTTCTACTAGAATACAAATTACGAAGATGCTTTTTTTTTTTTTTTTTTTTTAATACAAGTCTGTGATCATTTTTGGGAAGCTACTCAGCCATTTTGTTTGGGTTAGACCTGAATACTCATGCTATAGAGGTGTAGACCAGAAACTCAGTTACCATCGAGAAGGAGAGCTACACAGGTCTATATACTCAGTGAGGCCATTGTATCCCATTGTATCCATGTGTCTACCTGCTGGATGACCGCCAAGACATTTCACACTCATCATGCCGAAAGCCTAATTTATAGCCTTTCTCCCAAATCTCATCTTTCTTTGGTGTCTCCTATTTCAGGGAGTGACACTGTAATCTTTTCTTTTTAATCCAACCCAAAATGTGAGAATCATCTTTATCTTTTCCGTTTAATCTCTATTTCAAATCTATCCTCAAGTTTTATTGACATTTAAAGTCTCTCTCAAATCCCTTCTCTACATTTTTCTACCTTTCTGCTGGTCCATGCTACCTACATCTAAAATACTCAGCAGTGTAGGGACCTCTACACTGGCAGTACTGGCCTGCCAGCATCTACTCTGATCCACCTCTAATCTGGTTTTTTTTTTTTTCCTCCTTTCTGCTTAAAACATGACAGTTTCTCAGTGTTTTTAGGATTAAGACCCAGGTGTTTCACACTGCCTGGGAGGCCTCAGTTCTGGCTCTTTCTGAGCCAGACTAGCCTACTTGCAGTCCCTTTGGTATCTTTGGCCTTCCTGTGTCAGGAATACTTTTCCTTTCCCATTTAACTAGTTAACTCTTACTTACCCTTCTGATAAAATTTCCTGAAAGGAGCATTTCTCTTCAGTTAAGTCTCAGTTATATTACCTGTTGACTCCACTAATGTTAATTTGCCACAATTGGTATTTTATGTAAAATTATGACATTCAGCTTTCTCTTACATTAGAAGAAAAACTCCCTATGACCTGATTTCATTTCTGTGTTGAATTACTAATACATAGCCTGTCCCTGGCACATACTTACCTAATGTCTTTTTAGAATGAAATAATAAATCAAAACTTTAAAAACATAAACATTTTCTTTTCCATCTATACATCCAATAGCATCTTTGTCTCTTCTATCCCAGCCTTTGCTTTGATTGTGCCATTTGAATAGTAAGCCAGATAATGACCTCCAAGAATATCATCAAAGAACAGTAGAAAACCAGGATAAGCAAAAATGAGTCAATATGGAGCAAGTAGCCAACTTTGTAAATGCCAGTTTTTTTGTTTTTTTAAGATTTATTTATTTATTTAAAATGAACTGGATGCAGGGTAGAGGTGCAGGGAGTGAAATGATCCACCAGATACTGAGTGAGGAGCAGAACAGGCAGATCTACTGAAATACACTGTTGAGGGGAGCAGCAGGTGAGGTCTACTGCACCATGCAGGTCACCTCCATGACTGGGGATTGAACTTCGGTGCAATGGCTGTGGATAGCTTCATAGTGCTGAGACTTAACCCCCTTGCACCACCAGGGAGGCCCACTGCCTGTTTTTATTTTCCACTGGCACAGATTGACTTCCCTCCAGCTATGTACAGTGGGTCAATATATGTTATGTAATTAATCAAGTACTCTATGTCCAGTTCTATTTATGAAAATCACAGTTGTAGGTAGAGTACTTACACCTTCTACTGGCTATCGCTTTTTGGTTTTTACATGTGATTTCACATGTGAACAATTTTTTTTTTTTTTACCTTGAGTAGTCTATGTAAAGTGTGATTGATTTCTCTTTACCATGCATTTTGGGCTTTGTATGTACATAACTTTTGGTCATTACATGGTATTGTTTCTTGCAGCATGTACAGTCTCTGCCAACAGAAAAAATTACCAAGAAACCTATTCCAGATGAGCACCTCATCCTAAAGACCACATTTGAGGATCTTATTCAGCGCTGCCTCTCTTCAGCTACAGATCCTGTATGTATGTTTTCTCATATTTTGCTAATGCAGTAATCCTTTATGGAACTCTCAAATTATTGCTTAAAGTTTTACAAACTGTATTTCTGAAAAGTGTACAGAAGTATACAACCAACATTTATATTGTTTCTTTGAATGTAGAGTGTATGTAATTGCTTTTTCTGTATATTCATATAATCCCCACAACAACCCTCTGGTTGGTAGACTTGCCATTGTTATTTTGCAGGTGAGAAAATAAAGGCAAAATACAGTAACATTCAAAGTCAGAGCCAGCATTCCAACCCCGCCTGGCTCCAGCACTCACTCCCAGCTGCTGTCTCCATGCCCTCTTACCAGTATGCTGTGCTTGGCATGTGACTAGAGCAAGAATAGTGACATGCAAGAATTCAGATTTAGGATTTCTTTCTCAGCTTATGTTGAAGCTTTTAGAAGTAATAGATAATCTCATATATAACTTTGCAATGGTCTTAAATAGTTAAGTGAGTTAGATACTGGAGTCATATTCATAATTATAGCAAATGACTGTATTAAGTTTACTTACAGGGTGCCTGTGTATGGGCAACAACAAAAATTCCACAAAGCTTGTCTTGTTTTAGATGGAGTTTCAAATTCTGCCAACAAACATTGAATGTATTTATTTAGCCAATGGCCACTTCACTGCTTGAAAAAACAACCTCTGGAATTTGTTGTTTCATCAAACATTGAGTATAAATATGTGAAGCCTTCTGCTGGTCTTTTGGCAAACAGGTGTACCAAAAGTGACAGGAAAGCAGAGGCAGGAATGAGTAACCGTAACCTTAGTGCCTGGCATTCTTGGAGTGGTGGAAAGACCAAACTGGGAGGGAGAGAGCAGATGCAGCTGATCACCAGATATCACTACCCCCATGCACTTGTATGGACAGACAGGTTGTGGTCATTTAGACATAGGAGAGTCCTATTAAAAATGCGGGGAATCCAGCCCTTCAGGTAGAGAGCTGGGAAGGATGCCTCTCTGGTATATGACCCAGCTCAATAAGTTTTTGTTGAATTAATCTCCTCTGGGTCAGCATACCATCTCTTTCTGAGTCTACAGTAGCTCAGTCCATTTTCTTGTATGATTTTGTTCTTATTTTCACTTCAGTTATATCAAAACACAAGTAATTTTGTAGCACTTTGCTTATAATGTTATCCGAGAAGACCTGACCTCTTCCTCTAATCTCCTGACACACTGACATTCCCTTCCTCAAACATAACAGGAGCACATCAGCAACAGGAATTTGATTCTTGCTGCTCCTTCTGCTGGACTCGTCCTCCATGTTACGGCATTGCTCACTCATTTTAGCTTCTGCTCAAATGTCCCATCAGCCATCGGACCTTTTTTTACCAGCTGCCACACCCAGCACTGCTGACTTTTCTTCCATCCAATATGCCATGTAGTGCTTTTTTTCCATCATCTATTAGAATATGAGCTCCATGAGACAAGACAGTATTCCAGCATGGCACATAGTAGGCACTCAGGAAACACTGAGAAATGGTATTACTTCTAAGCTTGTGGTTTAAGAGGTCATTACGTTAATTTATATTCTAATTTTCATCCTTTAATTTTAGTTTTGGAATTTTTTTTCTCACCATATTATAGTATGGGGGGCATTCTTTAAGGACTTACTTTATTACTTGTAGTTACTCTTAAGTAATTTCCTTTTTATTTCCCTTGGTATTTTAAAGGCTCACAAAGAGTCAGGATTAAACAAAACATAACTAAGTGTTAAGCACATGAAATCCAACCAGTATTTCATTGCACATACCAGAAGGAAGAGCCACATCCTCTCACCCTCCCCCACTAATACTCTGCACTCTGTTCTAGTAACTTTTTAAAGTTTTGGGGTCATAGTTGTCTATCTTTTTGGTAAAATGAAGATGATCGGCATCATAAAGTTTAGTGAAATGAGATACAGGGCACATTGTTTGGGTAGAAGTCCATCTAAAAATATGTGTTTTTCTTTCCCTGCAGCAAACCAAGAGGAAGCTAGATGACGCCAACAAACGTTTGGAATTCCTATACGATAAACTTAGGGAACAGACAGTAAGTTTTTTTGGGGAAGTGGGGAGAAAGGGTTTATGATAATTATTATTTCTGGTTGTTAGTAAAATTAAGCACTCGTATGTAGTATGCTTGAGGGCAAAGTTATGACAGTCCTAGAAGGGACTTTACTCTAATTCTCTGAATCTTTAATTTCCTGCATTGGGAATGAGGGGATGGTGTGTGTATGAGAGAGAGAAAGAGAGAAGGGCTTGATAGGGGTTTTTTACTCCTTCTTAAAACAAGGAGTAGAAATACAAACTGGCCTGTATCGCCCCTAGGATAACTGCGTTGTTCATATATGTTGCTTGAATCAATAAATCTGAGAAGAAAAAAAGAAAGAAGTCAGGATGGGAAGATACTTTGTTTTCCAGAGACCAAATCTATAATCTTTCTCATAGATTTAAGAATCCTGATCTTTTTCTTTTAAAACAGTTATTACATAAAGCAGAGCCAAAGGCAGCCGCAAGATGAGCACGGTAATGCACTAGAGATAGTCAGCAGGGTACTAAATGCACTCTCTGATCTCTCGTCCCTGCTCTCCATTCTTTTCTAGAATTGCTTTGTTTTATTAATGAAAGCACTAGGATAGAAGAGAAAAAAAGGACCTGGGGCTTTTTTATATTCTCAAATTTCAGCATTCCTCTTCCCCTGCACCAATCCTATCAGATAAAAATAACCATTTATCTCATGAGAATGAAACCAAAGAAAGTTGATCTAACAGTGCGTGGTCCATGGACTGTTCCAAAATAAATTCTTCTCACAAAAGTAATGGCATGGAAAAAAACTACAGGTTTTAAGGTTTTTAAGAGATGATTAGTAAGGATTATTTAAAAAAACAAACAAACTAAGAATTGGCAAATTGAGTACATGGTAAAAAAAAGATTATTATCCTACAGATGGAAGTAAACCAAAAGTTCAGGGTGTCTGTTTTAGAATAAATTGATCCCTTAGTCCCTCAGATATTATGATTAGGAATCTTTGTACACCTTCATCCGCAAAATATGTGGGGCTACATCTAAAATAATTGAAGAAGTAAAGCTCATAAACTCAGAGAGATGTTAGCATTTCATCTTGGGGGAGGAACTCTAGCTTCTTTCTATAAGAAAATGCCTTGTTTATAAACAAGTTTGATTCATAAAATCTTTACATAGATCATTTTGTTATGGTTCTGTTTTACAACTAAGTGTAGCTTGGTCCAAAAAACTATTTCTAGAAATGCTAAATAGCTTATACATGTAGTTTATTATACATATTTTATGTTTATTGTAAGCTCTTTTTAAATCAAGGTTTAATATTTGTACAGGGCCTCAGGAAAGTTTCCCTTAATTTAATTCTTTCTTGGTTTTACCTTTCTTTCAGCTTTCACCAACAATCATCAATGGTTTACACAACATTGCAAGGAGCATTGAGATTCGAAACTACTCAGAAGGATTGACCATCCACACCCACATAGTGAGCACCAGTAACTTCAGTGAGATCTCTGCTTTCATGCCAGTTCTCAAAGTTGTTCTCACCCAAGCCAATAAGCTGGGTGTGTAAAAGGACAGCCTCACTCCCAGCCAATATCGCAATTTCTCCAAAGAAACATGTTTTTAAGAATAAGATATGGACCAACCCTCGTTAGCATGTTTCCATAGCAGCCAGTCAAGAGCATTTACACTATTTCTGCAGATATAATCACTTAGAACTGCTCAGAACCCTGGTGCTTTCTTTTGTTTTAATCTTTTATTGCCCGTGATGATTTTCCTATTCTGCAAATAGTGTATTTTGGGGATTACACATCGTGTGGCTTCCTGAAGTATTCTGATAAAATATGGGTTTTTAAACCTCAATATACTTTTAAGAAAAGGAATATCTGGTTATACATAAAGCAGAGCTAAAACTAAATTTCTTTCATGTCCTCCCCACTTCATGTCAATCAGATTAAAATGTGTAATCTTGTGTTATGTGTACGTACTCTTTTTTAAAAAACAGCTGCTCATAGTTTAGTTTAAGCCCTGTTTTGTGTGTCTTAGGCTTCACTCTTATCCTGAACAAATAACTAAATATAGAGGCTGCTACATGGAATTTAGCAAATATTAATGAAAAGTGGGATCACCGGCTTTAAGAAAAGACAGCATTTACATTCTGTAGAATGCATTGAACTTTTTCTATTAATAAATGTTTTCAATATTCTGTTTGAGTTTTAAGATTGAATTGTCTCCATTTTATAGTTTTGAAATTCATTCATCCATTTTTTAATCGTTGCCTACTAGCATGGAGATTTAAGTTCAGAAAGAAAACTAAATTAGGTTCAGAAAGTTACCTGAATCAAAGCAAGACATTTTTTCTGTCAAGTGATTTCATTATAATTTGTCTTAAGGGTGATATGGTAAAGAAAAGACAATGATTCCTGTAATTGAAGAAAATGAAATACTAATAATGTTTCATTTTTTATCTAATTTTACTTAAGAGGGTTGGAAGACTAGAAGATAAAAACTGTTACTACTGTAGACTAAGAGTTTTACCAGGCTTTCAGCCTGAGTGAAGTAGTTTGGAAAAACTTTTCAGTTCTTTTTACTGGAATTCTCTCTATTCACATTCCCTCTTTTAGAAATTAGCCAACTTAGTTTTTAACTTGGAATAATTTTATAAGTTAAAAAAAGGAGGACCTTAATCAGCATTGGTGCCTCCTAAGTGAGGTGCTAATATTGTAGCTGTTCTTTAGTCTCCTGGAACTTGCAAGTGTCATTCAGTCGGTGGCTCACAGAAGTGACAACGAGATTTTCGGAACCTGCCCCTCACCAACAGTGTCAGCCAAGACCCCATCTGAACAACAGGCTGACCACTAGTGATTTTTTCCATGTGTCGTCCTGCATATTTACCCTGATGTGAAAATGGCATGACTGGCAATACTTAACACTTGTTTCCCAAGAGGTGAGACAGTCTCAGGTGGCAGGTCAAGACCTGACCAACCTGAAAGATTTTGATCATGAGTGTAAACTGTTTCACCACTGACAGCTGAGCTGCTCTCCCCTCCAGTACAACATCTTGTTGGGTTTTTTCCTCTTTGCAGAGACATTTCTCCACATAGTTGATAGCCTTGGAGAAGTCTCATGTAAATGGATGGAGGCTTACATGAGCTGAACTCAAAATAGTGTTCAGTCACAAGCATGAAGATAATGGGAGCTTATGGAAAGACAACTTTGTCTTTCTGAAGGATAAAACTTACAAAAAGTGGAAAATTTCACTTTGAAAATGAATCTTTTTAATGGTTTCAACTCAGAAGACATTATAATTTATGACTACAGAATCCAGGGGCCGCTGTCTCAGACTATTACATAAAGATGGGCTGATGATAACAGCCCATTGTTCTTTTTGAAAAATTTCACTGTCCTCTGGCCATTACTTCATGAATATTGACCAGTCATTTTTTCTGCATCCCAAGTCTTCAACTTTGCTTCTATGTTTTATGGTTTTGTTTTTTTTTAACTACTTGATTTTAAAATGAAGCGTGTGAAGGAAACTGGTGGAGGTGTTGGTGAGGAACTGGATCAGAATCTGAGGAAGGAGTGCTTTTTTAGACTGCACTTGTCCCTCCCCTTCCTTCTTCACACTACCCTTGGCCTGTGAGCTGGATGCACCCATAGGCCGTACTAGTGACTGTGTAATGGGAACAAGCCATGGTGGAGGTGACTCATTTGAATACTGTGACAGCAGGAAAAAGTTAAGAACAGCTGTGTTACACCTGCCAGTTGAGAGTCCAGTGAGCCTTTATGTTCCTTTGGATTCAGAAAGTTCTCACGAATCCTGAAAGACAACCAGACTCCAGGCATGCCTGATTGACACCTGCCTGAAAGATGAAGGGAGGGACGGCAACATTTGATATAATAAGAATAACTAAGACCATCTGTTGTCTCCTCTGCCATGGTGGAAATTTCATTTGGAGTTGTCATGAAGGCTCAGCAAACAGTGCACATCTGTGTCTGTACACACCCCACCACACACATGCTCCCCTCTACTTTGTCCACTGCTATGGTGGCAGCATTCCCAAATATAACTGAGAAATCCATTGGTGTGTTCATTAAATGATGGTGTCACAGGTGGCATCTCAAATGACTTTGTGAATACAAAGAGGAGCATTGATGCACAGAAAGGCTTAAGTAGTTGATCTTATGGATAAGTGCCCCAAATCTTTCAGCCAAACTAAATTACAAAGCAAAAACAGTGGAGTTAGTTATACTTTCCACTCCTATGCTAATTGCTTTATAGCTCTAGTACCTGTTCTGCTCAAGACTGTGATGCCCATGTTTGTCACTTAAGCTCAATGTTGCACAGTGGGCATCTAAGACTGGGGTCCAATTTTATAGTTCTTTAGTTTTCAGCTGTTTGCCTTTTCCATCCCCTGAGAGATATGGGATGTACGGGTTTAAGGTGGCTAGAGTAGCTCTCCAAAAAACTAACAATGACATAGACTTGGCCTTAACTGGGATGCGTGATTTTGCATTCTGGAGTAATGTTTTCAGAGGTCTGCTAAAATATTTAGCAAATAGTGTTAACATTGTTAGGTCTGAGACATCTAGAATGACTGTGCAAACATCATTACTCAGTAATGTCTGAGATCATTATTTTAATGGCACTGCACTCTGTTGAATTTGAATTCAAATTTTGACTGTTACACTGTGAATGTAAAAGCCTATTACTCCTCAGGCAGGGCATTCTCAGCTTTTTCTTCCTGGTACCTTATAATTTCCCAATCCTATTCCCTTTCTAAACTACCTTTCGTATATTGGGCTTACACAATGCCAAGGGAGGAAGGGGCAGGGAGCTTCAGAAGCCTGGTGAAATAGAGAAAACTTTTTTTCAAGAAGATACAAGAGCTTAGTTCTTGTACAAGATGTTAAAACTAATGAAACTGTCTCAAACATCTACCATTATTTTCTTTTATACCTTTAAGGCTGTTGTATTTCCCAACTCGAGTATTATCTTAGCATCATTAACTTGGTATTTTTACTTCAGTAAATATTGAAAGTGTCTTACACAGTTCAGTAGAGATTTCATGGCCAAACAGATGTGGTTCCAGGTAGACAGTATAAATAAATCAGTAGGGAGCCTATCCTAGATACAGAATTTATTCAAATTTGATTAGGAAAGTTCCAGACTTTTTTTTAACAGTAAAAGAGTAGTAAGTGTAATTTAAGGGAGTCATTAATGATAACTAGTAGGTCTGACTTAGTGAATGATGATAATTCATTCCATTTTACACTTTTCTCCAGTCAAAGGACTACCTACTCTAGGAGTTCTAGAATGTGTATAGAATTAAGTTTAAAAGATTGCAGTAGTAAAGCAAAACAGTAAACATCTCCTAAAAAGTAACTTTCTTTCCTCTGGATTTCTCTCCAAACAAAATATGACTTTCTCCAGCCCTTTTTTGCCTCTAGCCTTTTGAAGAGAGCAAGTTAGTTTTTTTTTTTTTTGAAAGATTTATTTATTTATTCATACAGAACTGGGGTACAGGCCAGAGATGTGGAGGGAGATAGGATTCACCAGAGACAGAGTGGGGAGCAGAACAGGCGGATGATCAAAGTACACTGCTGAGGGGAGCAGCGGGCGGGTCAGGAGAGGTCTGCCTCGCCATGTGGTCACCTCCGGGGCAGGCGGGAATCGAACTCATGCGGAAGTGACTTGAGCTTCTCAGTGCAGTGCTTTAACCCGCTGCGCCACCAGGGAGGGCCCGAGAGCAGGTCAGTTTTAACAGAGCTGAGGTAGGTCCACAAAGAGCCCCCTCTTCGGAGGTGCTGCTTGGACGCTGATTAAAGACACCTAGGGTTTACTTGAGTGGGCACTGAGCTAACCTAACCTCTCACTCAGTCTTCACTTCTGCCCTTGGCCTAATTTATGTATTCTACCTACCTGGAACAGCTGGTAAGCATAGGAATCTGGATTCAAATCCAGTTGTCAGCAGAGGTGAGCATGTCCTTTTTTCCAGAAAGCCATATACATCCCAGAGTAAGAATAACAGCTGTACAGCAAAATCTTGAGTTCTGGTTTCTGATTTTGGTTTTGTATTTTTCCTCTCCTGTTAGCCTGAAGAAACAGCATTTCCCACACAAAAAGGGCTATGATTATGCTAAGTAAGTCTACTGAGCATGTATGTTGGCTTCTTTTCAGGCAGATTTTCTTTAATGGTGGGAATGATAGACCTTGGCAGCTTAAGGCCTGTGTTTCCACTGCTTGTGATACACAAATGGAAGAGAAAATGTCTTACAATATCTAGAAAAGACAAAAATATCTTAAGTTCACAAAGACAACTCTGATTGCCTATGTTTGGATCTTGTGCCCACTGTCGGAGACCATGCCAGATGTCAAAGTCCAGCTCTGACAAGGGTCCTTTTCCTGAAGGATGAGGCGGCATCGGCAAAATGAGCAATGAGGCAGACACTGACACTCTAGCTGGTGCAAGTATCTCCTCCTGAATATCTCAGAGGGTCTTTATTTATATTTAAAGTAGGCAGTGAGATTACATCAACAAAAGCGTTGAAACAAAGTAAAAATAATTATTACATATTTTTCATAGTCACTTGGAGAAACTTATTTGGTCATCTTAAGAAAAACAGGCAACAATCAAGACTTCTAAATGTACCTCATTTCCTAACATAATCACCTGGGACATTTGGTAATGTTTAACTCCTAACAGTTTCTTAACCCTATATCCTATTGTTTTAAAAATCATGTATTACTAAGAATATTACTAACATATTGTTTTCCTAGAAGTTCTACTATTGCAACTTATCATTCTTATCTAACTTCTATAATCATTGTCTAAGTCTGGTCTAGGCTGAGGGTATCTAACCTTCATGCACCTGCGAAGTGCTGACCTTTAAAGCACACCAGAGAATCTACTTATGCCGCAAGCACACCTCCTGGGTGAGATTCTGTTACAGGGCAGCCCAGAGTGG